TTTCCTTATGACCCAGATATTGCTACCTATATCAAATGACCATGTTGTTCAGTGGTTCATCTAATAATAAGGAAAACCTGTTCCTCTTAACACGTACCTTATACCTTTAATAAAAATCCTTTCACTATTATCATCGTCATTTCAGCCACAAAACATCCACTTCTGAAAATAGCCCAATGATTTTCAAATTGACCGATTGGTAGCGGCCTGCGCTTTTAACCGATTCTAAATATTCTCCCGCTGTGTCTCAGCTCAAATTTCGTTTCAAGTCAGCCGCTACAGCAAGCGCCGTGATGCCTGTCGCTTCCATACTTCGCTCATGCGCGTCTGACAGGATTTGATACCATTATAAATACTGATATTATGAACTGTTCGGGGAAATTTTCTATTACGAGATGAGATGCTCTTACGAATTTTGGATATATGTATGAGAGTTCTATATTAATATTTAAAAGCTTTTTGCTGTCTATTTTTTACCTTGTCACGCCTACGTGTTGTTTTTAATGGTAAAGAAATAGATTAGATCTCAGACAAGGACGAAAGCTACAGTTGGAAATTAAATCTAAGGCTGGGTTGCACCATCTTACTTTAACTCTGACAAACGTCAAAAATCTGTCAAACTCCATACAAAAAACGCCGGTTATCGTTACAGTTACGGTCAAAGTGGTGCAACTCAGCTTAATAAGGGGAAAATAGTGGTTGAAACTATTATACGTAGCATGGTTTTGCTTGGTGCTGTAAAGACTCATATATATCTATAATAGTACCTAACCCTACCTAATAATAAGCTTAGCAGTGTTTTGAACGGACTGCGTGATATAAAGACTGTCTGTGACACTGAAGTCCATGTTGACGCAACTGGTGCTAGTTAAAACATAGACGAATGCTATAAAAATACAATTAAGGCCCAGAACAGACGGTGAAACGCAACTGCAACGAAACTGCAACTGTTAGTTACTTTTGAGTTGCATCTAAGTGTCTGCCATAGCGTCCGTTGAGAGACCACATATGACGCGACCAGTTTGAAAGTTTCAGTTTCATTCATAAGAATCATCAGAAAGTTGCAGTTTCGTTGCAGTTGCGTTTCACCGTCTGTTCTGGGCCTAAGGGTTTTAGTTAGTTATAGGTTTTGTACAGGTATTATTATAATTAACCATTTTAATTTAACCGGTAATTTAATCACAGACGTGTCGCAGCCCACACTTCGTTTTAAGCCGACCGCCAGCCGCGATCCCCGTTTTCATACCTCAGTCTATTGACAGGATTTCGACACCGCCCGTTTTTGTTGTTTGATGTATCCAGCTTTTGAACGTGAACGTTTACCTACCCGCCTGTCTATGTTTATTGTATGGGCGAATAAATGCGAGCCTTATGTTTCGAAGCACAGATGGGTAAGAAATGTGATGCTGATTTTTAATTGCTGTTGCACTCGGGTGGTTGCTTTACGGGGTTAATTATTGTCTGGACGGCTCTTGATGTAAAATTACACTCCTAGGAATTACTTAAGTAATAATAAGGCGGAGTTGCATCAACTTACTTTAACTTTGACAAACGGCAAAAAATTTGTCAAACTGCTTATACAAACACCGGTTATTGTTATGGTTACCGTTAAGGTAAGTTTGTGGAACTCAGCCTTAGAATAAGAAATAATTCATGGCAATTCAATGGGACATCATAAAACGTATCAATTCTTGTTTATAAACTTAATTAGATGAAAGAAAAATTATGAATCAACATTTATGTGCCAGGTACTTGGTTATGAAGAGCATATTAATTTTGTATCTTATTAGCTGCACACGTATAGCCGTATCTAGCCAGCAACCAATCCAGCTATAAATATTAACCTTTTCTTTATGAAATATGATCATGTTTATGTGACACAGATCCGTCCTATTAGAGACTTACTTACGGAGACAATGGAAACTCTACCTGACCTCTTATTTTTGTGCTGAATAGTGTCCATTATCACCTGTCGTATACTAAGTAGCTGTCAGCTGAGCACAAAAAGTATCGTGGAAGGTTTGACAGCCCTTGTGTGGAGGATGTTCGCTTCGGCACTACCTTTCGCCGCCTATATGACGTCCGCTCCCATCCACTCTCCTTTTTGTTTCGCCTTTGTGCTCCCTTTAACCAGTCAATATTGGTTTACTAGTTTTTACGTAGCACTAAAGCGATGCAAAGGGTGCCTATATTAGATTTAAGGCAGACGTAACAACGTTTGGCGCGATTTCCTTTCGCATACGGGAGTGACAATATAAAATATAAAAGTTACGTACGTGCGCATTTTAGAACCTAGGAATAGCTGAACATTCTTAGTGTGTAAAATGTATTCCTACCTAGCTAGTACGGATTATTGAAACATTTTTTTTTAACATTTGTATAGCTATAAATTTTATTTGCATTCACATTTATGTGTAGTTGTTGATTGAAATAGCGGGTTTGTAATTACATCATCATTATGAAACATAACATTGCTGAAAATTAATGATACAGTTATTACACGTATTACAATACATATAAATAGACTTATTACCCATTTTGACTGTAGTGTCTAGCTGAAGAATATTACACTACCCACGTGCTATTTTCGGGATTATAATGCTACATATCTTTCCTTGCTATTTTCGTGATTATAATCTTTCAAGATAAAATTTCACGGATAATAAGAAAATTTAATATACATTTTACAAGAATAGACGTATTCGGGACTAATCTTATTTAGAGGAAAATCCTTTCAAAGCACTTTTCTAAATAAGTACTATGTAGATAGGTGTACGATTCACGGGCTGGAAGACGTAGCGTGGGCAGGCCTCCTACTAGGTGGACCGACGATCTGGTAAAGGTCGCGGGAAGAGCCTGGATGCGGGCAGCGCAGGACCGTTCATTGTGGAAAACCTTGGGGGAGGCCTTTTTCCCGCAGTGGACGTCATTTGGCTGAAACGAAGGTGTACGATTCAGCTTTTGTAGTTGTAACGAAATAGACAGTGGGCTGAATATCTGTTGCGTTTACATCTACCAATTTTTAATAACTGTAACTTTAAAGAAAGAAAATGGTTAAAATGTAAAACTAGATGAGTAATTAAACTTTTTTCATTTTCATTTTCATGAAACTAATATTATAATGCTGAAGAGTTCGTTTGTTTGGTTGAACGCGCTAATCTCGGGAACTATTGATCCGATTTGAAAAATGCTTAACAAAAAATTACCAACAGTAGAGCATCAACGAAAAATGTTGCGAAAACGGAAAAAAAAATAATTTTATGTGTAGGAAGTCCAAGCACAACAGTCTGATATGACGCTATTTATAAAAGCGTTTGAAAATAAAGTGACCCTACGGTGTCTAATTTTCAATTAGCGACTTCAGGAGGGCTCGCGTTCACAAGATATTTATTCATGTTTCTCAGAAGGGGTTGTTAGTTGGCGTCTGACTGGCACCAGCAAGAACTTTTAGGGCAATCCGGTAAGTAGTTAGGAAACATGTGGCCTGTCTGCGCCCAAACTTCGTGTTCAGTTAATCTGATAGAATATGGAGAGCGGAATTAACATGTCCCATAATAGGGTGTGGACATGACGGCCTGACTGGACTGTCACGGTCTTTAATGCCTTAGTTCGAATGCACGTCTCTAAGGGTGAGTTGCACCACCTAACTTTAACGGTAACTATGACGATAACCGGTGCATTTTGTATGGAGTTTGACAGATTTTTGACGTTTGTCAAAGTCAAAGTGAGATGGTGCAACCCTAATTGACGTCGGAAACTCGTGAAAGGAAGACAGATTTAATTGGCTAGCTGCAACTAATTTGATTGGGAGACCGATGAAGACTCAAAACTAATTAATAAAGCTGTTACTCGTCCTTGTATGACTCTCCGTGTATGTGTTAAAAAGTTATTTAGAAAATTAATTACTTACAAAAATTAAGGTATTAAACAGGGTGTTAGGTAAATGGGTATATGAGCTGACACTAGCCCATGTTAACATGGGCACATAAATGGAATGGTGAAGTCAGAAAATTCATATCTTCATTTTAATTATTTTAATTGTCATACTAATCGGATTTTATAAAATTTATTTTGTATGAAAATAAAAAAAAAAACATACTGTGTGTGAGAGTTGTTTGGAGAATTAAAGATTGTTATTTCGTGGATGACAGCTATTAGGGGATGCCGGCACTTACCTTCAAAATGGCTGCCTCCTATAACCACTCCAAATGAATGAGGCGAGTTTCAGCTGCGCCACCCTACAGCAATAATGATTGACAGAAAAAAAGGTAGGTAAACCCTTTTTATGATTTTTAATTTAGTTTATTTTCTAAATAAGTTTTAAACACCTAGCCTAAAATTAGGATCAATGTCGTATGGTTAAGACATGATAAGTCGTGAACTACATTTATGGACTGTAAAAATGTTTACGTAGGTAATATGAGTCTCTTTGCCAGTAATGACATTAAACAAGAGAAGAAACATCTTTTTGTTTCTTGACATTCGCTTTATCCATTTAAATATTATTGAGGAAAGACATATCCCGGACGCAGTACAATAAGCATCTATGAGTTATTTTTCTTGCTCTGGCCGAACAAAAAAAGAAAGAATACTAACTGTTTTGTTTCTTGACATCTACTCTATCTCTGCGCCAATTCCCCATGAGCCGGGGCGCAGCATGTTTATTTATTTATTTAATTAACAACAATCATATCTCTAACATTGTTGTTGTTAAAGAAGCCCATGTTTTGAGGCTGCATTCATGACCAGATTAGTTCGTAAACAAAAGAAAGTAGATTTTTTTCTAAACCCCATAAGCCTGCCATCTGCTCTCTCTGTGCGAATTCCCCATGAGCCGAGGTTCCCGGCGCAGCATGTTGTTGAGGAAGCCTACGTTGCGCACGCAGTACTATCTAATATCTATGTACCTAAGTTTCTTACTAAAAATCCTAAAAATCTGGCTACAAACAAAAGAAGGAAGACTTTTCTTTTGTTTCTAGACGTTGCTGTTTCCATATAACCTATCCTATGAGCCGGGGCTCCCGGCGCAGCATGTTGTTGAGGAAGCCCATGTTGCGCACGCGGTATGTTAGTTGAGTACTACCCATGTAAGCCATAAATAAACAAAAGAAAGAGAAGAGTCTTTTGGCATCTGCTCCTATGTCTGCTCCCTCCAAGCGCTCTACCCTATGAGGCGGGGCTCCCGGCGCAGCATGTTGTTGAGGAAGCCCATGTTCTGGACGCGGTATCTTAACCTATGTTTATATGCAAGTGTGTCTTGACCAGCCCTGGCCGTAAAAAAAGAAGGAAGACCTTTCTTTTGTTTCTTGATCTTGATATCTGTTCAATGCATGTAGGTTTGATGACATTGGTTTGATTCTGTCCTTAAATAAACAAAAGAAGGAAGGCTTTTCTTTTGTTTCTTGACGTCTGCTCTACCCCATGAGCCGGGGCTCCCTCCGCAGCATGTTGTTGAGGAAGCCCATGTTGCGCACGCGGTACTTGAACACGCCCTTGCCCCGCAGACGGCCCATGTGCTGCAGCGTGCGCACTAGCGGTAGGAAGCGGAACATCGAGCTCATCTCGTCGCCCAGGCAGAACATGAACGAAGACTCGATGTAGGCTGGAACAGACAAGAAACTCTTTTTGAAATAATCTTTATTGTAGACTACACAAAGGTCAGTTATTTTTAATATTATACTTCTAAACGCGTGATTGCTTTTGAAATAGTACGCGTCAGAGCCAAAGCACACCGCACTGCAAAGATTTCACAGTATCGCGCGTGTGCCCGTCACACAGTCATATTTCTACGATACAACGACATCACTTTGGCGTCGCACCGCCGCCACAACGCATCGTGTACTTCAACGCAATCGCAACATGATTATCCGCAGCGAACCACAAAAAGAAACGCACGCAAAAACACATTTTAAGCTATGCGTGAAAATTGGATCGGGTTCGTTCGTTCGTTCGTTTCAGCCGAAAGACGTCCACTGCTGGACAAAGGCCTCCCCAAGGATTTCCACAAAGACACCTCCTGCGACCTTCACCAGATCGTTGGTCCACCTAGTGGGAGGCCTGCCCACGCCACGTCTTCCGGTTCGTGGTCGCCATTCAAGTCTCCCGGAGTTCGGAGATATGAATCGGGTAATGTTATTAAATCATTATACGCACTCCTTTTTAAAGATATATCTACTAACAAACCTTTTCGATACTAATTGGCACATGAATTCTTCCGATTGATAAAATTTATTTATTTTTCCTCTGAAATATGCTACAAAAAACTGACAGTTTAGTAAGTTAAAATTTACAGTGGGTCTAGTCAAAATGCCATCGCAAACCAATAGGAAGTTTTCACTAATGTCAGTCGCCGCGTCACCAGTAATTCGATTCGATCGGAAAATGGCAGCCAAAATGCACATTGAACCACCAACGACGCGGCGATATAAAAGTTCATTCAAAATCGAATAAAAGTTAAAAAAAATCTATGACTTTGCGATTGTTTTTACTTTTTTTAAGCTTTTTTTTTAATTAGTTTCATCCTTCTTTCTGCTCTCTGTTTACGTCTATGCTTCGCTGTCAAATTAGCTGTCAAAACGACATCGCGATACGGATTTGTCAAAACAGCCTTAAGGTGGGTTGCACCATCTTAGTTTAACTTTGACAAACGTCTAAAATCTGTCAAACTCCATACAAAAAACACCGGTTAACGTCATAGTTACGGTCAAAGTTAGGTGGTGCAACTCACCCTATTGGTTTTCGATATAATCGAAGCTTTATCACCGGGGTTTAAGTAATCGCAATGAAAATGGCGGGTGTTGCGATTCGATTCGATTTTGATTGAGTCTTACATGCATGTTGGCTAAGCCTTTGTATGGGAAATTTCAATCCATTCTTTCGATTATCGATAGGTAGGGCTTTGCGATTCAATTTTTTGCCGTTTGACTAAGCCTTTTTTGTTATCGACCTCTTTTGCGATTTGTTTATTTGTTTGCGACTGGCGACTGGTTTGCGATGGGTTTGCGATTTTAAAGTGCGTTTTGACTAGACCCGCAGACCTTGTTATAGAAATAGAAAGAAATAGAAAAACCTTTATTTGACACGAATACACAAATGAAAATGAACAAATAAAAGAAGAGAGAAAAAAAACATTCTACACACTTGTCATTATATTAAACAAGTATCTCGTACCAAAAAGGCTTGTTATTACTGTATTCGTAATATGAATTGGTTCAAATCATTACCTTCCGTTTGATGCTTATAAAAATAAAAGATTTATTCCCGCCCGCCCACGCCTTGAAGCCAGAAGCAGGAAATTGAGCTCTGTAAACGAATTTCAGTACGTTTATGCAAATAGAGGAGTTTGTGCCTGCAAAGGTGCGCCAATTTGCCCAATAATATGCTATTTTTCTCATAACCGGTTGCTTGTAGCCTTCAATGATCAAATTCAAATTCTTTATTCTAACTAACCAAAGTATAAAAAAATAAAGAGATTTTAAAAATCTCACAAGAAGAGAACAATTTTAATTATTACACGAAAGAGAGGTTTCATATCCATTTATATCAATAAAAAAATATATTATTTTCAAAGGGATTGGGAAAATATTTCCTTTATTATTTACTTTAGTATTTAGCCGTTGGAGTAGAGACACAAGCACAAACTTGACTAGCATCGAAATAAAAAAAGAACATGGAATGAAAAAAAAACTGGCACAAAACTTATTCGTTATCAGTAAAGATGTATAATTAAAAGACTTTTACTAACTTGTACTTAACACCCGATGACAAATCATTGCAGAGAAATAACTAAATAACGAAAATTTCAGTTAAGTTGCTACATCATTTTCAAAAGTGACCCTAACATGAATCAGATGGTGATTCACCGCGTCCCAGAACTATCAGTGTTGAAATACAAAACAAACAGCCTCGAATTACGATCAAAGCGGTTTCCCGGGCCCTCAAAACACACCGCGCGTCCCGAGACCCCAAATTGCGGTGTCTTTCCTTGACATTGGTGTAGGTCAGAGTTTTGGGGGCCTTGAGCCTCCCGGGCCCCGGGACCCTGTCTGCGATCCGTCTGGGAATCTTGTTTGCGGTTTGTATTTGTATTTTGGTGATATGGGGTTCATTAGTAGCAACAATGCAAGTGTACAAAGGATTTTTTAATTAAGTAAAAATTTTCCGGGACTGATAAGTATGAAAGTCTTTTACAAACATTTGTTTGTCTTGTAAAAGGTAAGTGGTTTACATAAATCACATCAAAAGTTCTTTAGCTCAAGTATCACAAGACCGAAAAAAATGGGTACTAGTTAGTGGAAAAAAACTATTTTTTTGGCAAATGTAACTGCGAAGCTAGGTACAATCATTAGGAAAACGTCACATGAATTTCCACCATTTATTAACATTATTATAACAAAGTCCCTTTGTTAATTACCTTTCAAATAGCAAAATTACAAATTAAATGATACAGTTGATCATTATTTTCAGCTGAAAAATTACTCTTATTTAACTACTTAAGACTCTACATTTTTATGTTCTCTCGTAAGCTAAGGACATCCTTGGCTTACACAAATATATCACAAAACGGTCTTGTCACAACCAAGTTTGACGAAACAAAGAAATTTTCAACTTAATTCGTACATTACACATCATCAACCCCATCAGATATCAACATATGCATAATTCGCTACGATCGATGAATATGATCAAAGTGTGCGTTACAGTACAGTATCTTCGAAATAGGTCGCTTATGACGTACGTGTGCACCACCTGACCTTAATTTTCTTGTGCTTGCGTAGATACATAGATGCAAAAGAAGGATACGCTTCAGGTATGAAATTAATTTAAAAGTAGCCTATAAAGTAACCAATTTTTCTACTCATAAGATTTGATTAGTCATGTGATCATGTATTGAAATTCAGTAGTTAGTACGTTTTGTAAAATTATTTAGACTATCAAGATTGTAATGTTTTTTATATCTCTAGTCTTTAAAACAAGAGTAATAAGCTAATTAGAGTCACACTAAATCAAAAGCATTACTTCTATGACTTAATAGTAAGCCTTTACATTTCGAAGCATTAGTATTAGTCCACCCATCCTAGAAATCCAGCTCATTAAAATAACCTAAAGCAAAACTTGGGTCTTCCATTGAAATTCATTTAATTAGACTAATCCCGGGCATTAGTCTAAAACTTATAGAATTAGTCCGTAGTTATCTCTGCAGAATATCGTCGGATTGCTAATAAATTGAACTGTTTTCAATGTCGGTAGTTTCAACATCACTCGCACACAGAGTTGAGAGAGTACCTGTCAGCGGGAGGGGGGTTCCCCCTGAAATCTGTTTGGCCCCGGGGGACGCCACCCACCAGTTGCATTACCCCCCTTTACAGGTATATTGGCTATAGTGCTATAACCACCCGGTGGTGCCACAAAATATTGGGGCACAGTAGATCCATTTATCATATTTCTTGACGAAAATAAATGTGTTATTGTCGACACTAGACACGTGTAATGAGTGTTTAATTATACGTGAAGACGGATTTCGGATTAAATGACACAGCATTCGTAGTTTTTTAGGCTAGAAAGTAGTCCAAAGATAGAGCAGCTATCAAATACAGCTCTTCACCGTTATTTGTGGTTTTCAAGTACAAAAACTTAATCTCGCACAAAAAATCACCATAAAAATCACCTCAGAGTCTACTGCGCCGAACTCTACCATGGCATTACATTGCAATTTGCCGCCATAACAATATTCGGTTGCGTATAATTAATAGCAGAATCAAAGCGACTAGCCAGCCGGTTTAACAGACAGACATGCAAATCAAAAGAGGTATTAATTACTACATGTAATGATGTCCTATGATGATTTGCGTAGCGGACATGACGGCGTTATTAAATTTTGATTGAGATTCCAGACGGAGCGGTATCAAACGGATTGCGTATTGCATGTGGGGACAGAATATGTGGGTAGCAAACTATTCTGTGGTCAGCTTTGAGCTGCGCGTTCGTGAATATGTGGAATATCTGTATACCATTGCAATGGTAGTTTGAATATTTGTAATGGACGAATAATAGCATTTCTGTTTGCCTTTTGTATTAGATCGTAATAGGTCGAGATCTTCGTGGCCATAATGATATGTAAAATGATATCTGTAATTCAATATACTTAATAGAACTTATTTACGTTGGTAGGTGAAGGTAGGAAAACCAATATGGAAAACGAAAAAGTGAAACACTCTTCAATTAATCTACTTAACAATTTAAACATGACAATAATCAAAACTTTTTAAAAATCAAATAAGTTGAAAACTTAAAATATTGAGTTGTAATTAAGTTTTAAATCCTTTTACAATAGCGACACCAACCTACATGTTATTTTTTTTTTCGTCAGTAAAATAAAAGTTCTTGTCAAAATTAACAAATAGCGTAAGTCGCTTACAATTGGCCATCTTTTCAAACTTTGGGCTCTGTAGAGGGTAATTCAAGGTAATTGTGTTAAAGGACCCTCCGTTTAATGATTAAAGGAAAGATTTATACTAATACATTAATTTTTTTTTTCGTCCGTACTAGGTAAATTAAAATCTTGTCAACATTATTAAATCGCGTCCTTAACGAACCTTGTCAAACGTTGCGGTAGGCTCTGTAGAGGGTAATTCAAGTTTATTGTGTCAATGGAGCTCTCCGTTGATCGATAAGGCAAAGAGGACGCGCGCCGTTATAAAAAGATTGCTGCGAATTCGAAGAGGCGAGGGAAGCTCTTTGGTTGAATACGTAATATTTTTATTGAAGTATTATTTATTAAACGATTCAGGGTGAAAATAAGGAGAACGTCTAGCTTAACGCTGTTTTTCGATAACTAAATGGACAATCATTTAGCAAGTAACAGCTTTAATACTTTTATCTAGGTGTCCTTATGGATATGGATTAAATATTAAATACACACGTAGTTTTGTGTTTACGTTAAAATGGTTCGTGTAATATTACACTCGGCGCTGGCTAGTCAGTTCCTTTGTTTGAACTTAATTTGACACGCTGCCGCGTGTCTAGATTGAAGTGTTTTATTTATTAAACGATTTAGGGTGAAAATAAGTAGTAAATAGTCGAACGTCTAGTACGCTCGCTGTTACTTGCTGAATAGACAGATTGGACAGTATAATTACATAATTTATTACAGTTATGATAGGTATTATAGGCATTTCGACTGCAAAATAACGTCTAATTATATGTAAATGGAAAATTACACGATTTCCCACTTGGAAATCCCAACCAGGATATGAAGGAAGATTTTCGCGTCCAAATAGTGTAATTTTCCATTTAGCAGTGCTTTTATAAATGAGCATTTCGCCTTTAAAAAATTAAATGAGTATGTAAAGTGTAATTTCTTCAACAATGCCAATCAATTAGATATGACTCTCAATAAAACAAAATTCGTTTCACCCTTTCCACTTGAAATTTCAGCTCCAATTATCGTAATAATCAAAGGGTTTTGATATGCACGAATATATGTAACTTTTACCGGCGCGTCCACCCTCGCGGGTAGGGTTGTCAAGTGTCTGGATTTAGCGGACATGTTTGGCTTTTTATAGACGTGTCTGGCCAAATATTTTCTTGTCCGGCCTGTCCATCTTTTGTTAGGCTTTTTATGTGGCTGCCGCGCCAGTTGAAATCGAGCACACAAGTAGTTAGTTAGTTTTGCAGGGCAATCGACTACCGCACTTAGCCTCATGATTTGTGGTTTATCTTCGTACTCCAACCATCCCATATCTTCCCAGAAAGAAAGCAGCCTATAGGCCGCTACAGGCCTCCTGCAGCGACGCTGGTGATTTGAGCCCCTTGTTCTGCTACGCTTCTGCTATGTTTCTTCTGCCTCCATGCATCCTCTGCATAGTGTGCTGTCTGAAAGACCTATGCTGAGAACACAAATAACTCAATGCCGCGATTTTTTATTACTGATTTTTTTTCGGCTCTGGGAAAATATTTTTGTAAGGCTATAAAAAAAATAGCTTTTAAAAATGGCATATCCAGCTTTTAGGATAAAATATCCGGCCAAATTAAGCACCTAGTCCGGCTTTTGTTTTTGGAGCTGGCAACCCTACTCGCGGGGTTCATAATGAATTGGCGAAGGTAGCCCCTGCACCAATTAGTGCTTTAGCCGGTGGCGCGGCTTAGGGTGCAGCGGAGGATTATCTCCATATGTTTTGATTACTAAAGGGTCGTCCACACGTTTCCGGGATGTTTCCTCGTCAATGTTTGGCCGGGGATAATAAATTGCTTGTACCGGGTATCCGGTAACTGATGGATAAGCCTTAACGTGTGTATGGACTTTAGGGTTGTCTTCGGGATATCCGTTTTCGAGGCGATATGTGATATGTCACTGATTCTCCATTTATGTTCAGTCTTTCTGTCTGTGACCATGTTTAAGTGAAGTTCTAAACTGAATCCATTTTGCACCCTGACTTTTGTATTTTTGGTCAAAATATAAACAAAACAAAAACTTTACCTTTCTATCATCGGCCGCGTTGCATAAAAGTTTAGCTACTTGTCAAGTCCGAAATATCTTGTTTAATTATAGTGAGAATACCTATGAACAACTTTTCCCTTAGTGAAAATACTAATGAACCCTTTTGAAAAGTTAGGGTAAACGTGAAACCAGAATTCTAATAAGTTGTTTCTACAAATGTAAACTTTACTACTGTATCAAAAGGGAAAATTGATAAAATAATTCTGTATCTTACATTTATTTGAGTTTTGAATTTAGTTTGGAAGATCTAGTTTTTAAACTCTATTTAAATATAAATGTTAAATCGTAATTTTATTAAGTTAACTTTCTAAAGACTATTTGCCTGAAGAGAGATAATCATAATTTTATCCATTCTTCTAAACTTTTCCGTTTACCCATAATTTAAATAGGTAGAGATACCAAGTGATTGTACCTAAGTACTCGGTACATAATTTTGATCCCTATCTAACGGTCAAAGAGATAATAGATGACAAGGTCTCTTCAAATTAAGCTAATTGCTCTTCTCGCTGATGGAAACGGGCACGAGTGTGGGGATGATAATACCATAGACAAAGGGCTACAGATGTATCGATGTTTGATACGTAGGGCTACACATGTATCGATGCTAGATACGCTTCCGTATCAAGTGGTTACAGGATTGGACTTGGTTTGCGAACCGGAAACTAATCACTCTGCGGTTGTCTCCAGTTTGATTACTGGACATTGCACGGATCAACGAGATGGTCCGATAAGTAAAATGATTGAATGCATTTAAGGTAAGGCAAACGGGCGTTAGGTAGAGTTATTCCCGAGGATGGGACAGTTTGGGATGGGACACTTACAGAGTAAAAGAGTTTTATTTAGAAACTTCTTACCGGAAAATTCGTGTTTCGTGCTCAATTTTTATTAATTTTGGAAAAACATTAGTCAAGTATTTATTTTCTTTTTAATTATGTGAAAAGTTATTTAAAAAGATTCGGTTTTATGTTCGGCTTCAATCTCTAGAACAAAATACCTTTTTGCTACGTTCACAAAACAGCGTTTCTTTTTTGCAACGGTTACTCGAGTATTCTAATGCAAAATAAGATTTTAGCTTTCGCGTTCCATTTCAACTAAAATAGTAAGACCCGTGTCTTTTAGTTAGTATAAGTATTTTAGTTATTCTAATGCAAGTCCTATAATAATAAAATTTTCTTGAGCTCTCAACAGTTGGGCTTGCTTGCAGCTTGTTTTTCTTTTACATTTTGAACTGTACTATGCTATGAAGACTGGTTCTGGATTCTGAAACGGTTCCTCAAGTCGTTTGAATAAACAGCAGTTACAGTCCACACAATAGTAGTAAATAGTTTACCTGAGCTCTCAGAAGTGGGGCTCTTGTCCTCCCAGTGCATCTTGCACTGCGCCACGTCCATGAAGTAGTGGTTCTGGAGTAGTGCCTCAAGTAGTCTAATACCAGGATTGCTCTGTAGCAGTAGGCTGTCCTACTCTATAGCAGGAGATAATTACCTGAGCTCTCAGCAGTGGGGCTCTTGTCCTCCCAGTGCATCTTGCACTGCGCCACGTCCATGAAGCAGTGGTTCTGGAACATCATAGAAGGTTCCCGCGCCACGATGCCTGGCACCCCGCATACGGGAGCGTAGGTGTTTGGGCATTCCTGGGAAAGTGATAATAAATATTATGTAGTTTTGAACTACACTTCATTTCATTAAAGGAAAGGTTTTTACCCAAAAAATGTGTCTTTAGAAGGATACAGAGTCACTTCTTCAAAAATAGGTAGTTACGTTTGAGCCAAGTTTTATGGCTATGAAACTGTTAAGTTGGGATTAATCGCAATCCATCTGTTAAAGAGGACACGTGAGATCATTATTTGGTTTCATGACCATAAAAATTGGTCTAAATTGATCCCAGAGGTAAGCCCAAAGTGAGGTCTTTTTTCAAGTCACATTTATGGTATGGGCACTTCTTCGAAATTGCATTCTTCGGCTGATTCATATGGACAAATTTCAAATTCAATTTTGGGTCTGTAACATAGACTCATATGAAAATAGGTACACCCAATAACATATATTTGGATGAGGGACTCGTTTTTGTAAAGTAGTTTTCAAGATATCGACGTTCAAATATTTTGTGCCCATATAAATCAGAATTTGTTACATATTAATCAAAAATAGGAATAAAATTTAAAATCTTTATGTNAAATAAAACCGACTCCAAAAAACCTACACTAAAACGTAGAAAAATAATTACTAATTACCTACTTATTTATTAGGACGAATTATTAATATTTATGTAGGTATACCATGATTGATACTTTTGGAGTCGGTGCAGGCAAACTTTACATGTTTCATAATCTTGGCACCGACTCCAGAAGTATCAATCATGGTATACCTACATAAATATTAATAATTCGTCCTAATAAATAAGTAGGTAATTAGTAATTATTTTTCTACGTTTTAGTGTAGGTTTTTTGGAGTCGGTTTTATTTTTTTTTATAAAATTTTACTTATTGATTGATACCCCACAGTATCGTTGTCGTATTGACAATCAGTGCAGTTGCGTTTAGCACGGATTAACTATTTGTGGGAAACGTTTGTAGAGGCCACTTTTCAGTATAATATGTCATCCCTGATAACACACACTGGATGTAGACTTTCATCTTATGGCACTAAGGTATTTTAGATGACTATAGAGTCAGTAAAACAACATCAGTGATACATCATCATAGGATGATGACTTATCCAAGCCATCGTTGTTAAGACGTCCACCCACAAGGTGAAGAAGGTGAGATGAGCTTATAGAGGTTGTGGCAATGGCAATCAGTTAATCTCGAAATCATTGGAGGCCTATGCTCAGCAGTATATTATTATACTTCGTATCTCTCCCGAAGATGATTATGTTTTACATGCAGCAGTACCTGGGATGATGCCGTCCTTATCACACTTTTAGAGAATATTTATTTAAAAATATAAGTTTTAAATATAATAAAGTACGTGTTTTGACTCCTCAGCACCGTAGTACATTCCGCGGTCCGCCATATTTCTTGTCATTACTTGTGTTGGTGTTCGTCCGACTCACACGTACTTTTTCAATAAAAATAACTTAGCGTAAAAATGGGTAAAAGGAAACGATCAAGTAATGGTGATAATAGTGATATGGTGAAAAGTTTGTTAAGAAACCTCGTATGTACAGAGACAACGACAAATTATAGTTTTATCTGATGATGATGAACCAGAAAAAACATCGTTGTCTCCATCGTGCAGTCACTGCAGATTTGCAGACATACTATTTAAAACATTCTGGTAAGTTGTGAATCGTGTATTTTGAAATTGTTATGAAATAATGTGAATAATTTCTATTTTTTGTATTAAAAATGAATATTTTCAACTACCCTCCGTGGTAATACTTTGTGTCCCGACTTAATCGTGTGTGGATACTAAACTACACGTACAAAAATCGTGTTATACAAAAATGGGCTTGCCTCCACGCCAGAAACCAGACTCTCATGATTAAAACCTGACCAGTTATGGTCAAGAACAGCTCACGCCATATGAATCAGTATTTTATGCCGGACACTGCTTATTTATTTTTTTGCAAACAAACTAACTTAATTAAAATTATTACGCATTTTTTTTGGAGAAAGACAACTCATTACCTTTCGAGATAATTTTAATTTATATTGATATATCAAAAGGAAAATGCTACATCAACCATTTTGTTCCGGAAAATGGCTAACGGACACACCATATGAATCAGAGAATCACACTTCAAATATTTTTATTTTGTATAAAGACAGCAATTATGTCAAAAATGTAATTTGCGCCAGATAGGGCTATAGTTAAGCTATACGAAAAAAAATATTGCATGCCATTTTGTTAGTTGGTTACAGAACTATACCCAAAGACATCGAAAATTTTGCCTCCGAAGAAATACCCGTATATGTTAATCCATTTATTAAGAAATTAAATGTGTTTTTCTTAAAGGATATTTATTTGGCTTTCAAATAACACCAATAAATTGTTAGGGCACCATGATTGTGTCAGAAGAAAATCCTCAAAGTTCGCGTCGCGGAAGGTTCGGTTTATTTGATGCTGAGTATAATTATTTCAGAGAGTTTCAGAGCATATAGATATCACCTACCGCCTACCGGAAACAGAGAGAGGGTGCGAGAGCCCGGAAGTCCACAGTGTCAGCCGGGTTGTCATAGTATTTTATTCTTTTCAATAACGTGTTTCAGTGTAGTTTCCAAATGGAAAACAGAAAGTATTTTGTTTAAATATACAAAATACTTTCTGTTCTAGTAAATGTTTGTAAATATTTAGTCCATGTAGGTAACAATAACATGCTTGCAATTAAAATTGTAAGTGTTCCTAATTACCTAATCGCGGTTCAGAGACGGTCAAGTTAAGTTTATTTCAATTAGGCGATTATCACACTGCGCCACTATCCGCCGCAGTACGCGGGACGACAGATTTAATCATTGTATGCAAGTACCTGAGTTTGTATAGAAAACACGCGCGGCACAACACACTGACAACGCGTCCGCGCGCGGGATTTTTTGTATGAAATCACGCGGACCGGCGGAGCGCGGCGCAGTGTGATAATCGCCTTAGTTTCAGTTCACATGAAAAATGGTCGTCAATTTATTTTCTTATTTTATTCTTACTAGTTTCTTTTTTAAAACTATCACAACGATCTAATAATTATTGTTTAAATACATTTAGGAACAGACATAATAAAATCTATGCAACGGTATGAGCTTTGTGTTGGAGATACACCGCCATTTCCCGGGTTGTATTTCAAAGCTCTCGTATTGTAATAGATTATTGATTTCCTGCAGTCCGAAACAACGAAGTGACTGCTTGTATCTAGTCTACACCCAATGTGTAGGTTCTATTAGTTATTGCATCACAAAACCTCAAGTTAACTCTAGTTCTTTATCTTAGTTTTTTATTTTGAGTAGAATACGTAGTAAGTAAGTACGACATCCTATAGAATTTTAAATTTAGGCACTAGTCATACTTCTAATGAGATTTTTTGGCAACTTTTGCATGAAACTAAAAAAATGATGGAAAACTGTATATGTACATTATCATAGTAATACCTTTTGATTGGTAATTAGATTAATTTTATTTTAATTGAATTGCAGATTGTGTGAATTTTAATGTCTAATTTTCCTATACAATGTATTTTGTTTTTGGAATAAATAAATTGAAATTGAAATTGAAAACCAGTCTGATATAAACGGCATTGTCCCACTGCAATTATTTTCCTAGACCGGCATAATTATTCAAAACTCCAAAGTAATTATAAAGTATTTCAAACAAAGTAAAACATTAAAAGCAATCTAAAACTGTCGCAGGACTTACATTGAATCGATACAGTGGCCGGGTGCAGTATCGATTATTCTATTTTTACTGGGTCATAAAGTAGGTACGCTTTGATGCGGCTCGATTGATGCCTTCCCCTATGCCTGACCCTCGTGACGACTTAATAAGTGAACGCAATATGCAATTAAATTGAACTTGACCGACAAATGGATTCCGTTTAGAGTTTCGCCAAAGTTTTAAGAGGCCTCGGCTATGATAATAATTGAAATGTTTCTTCTTTTACTTGTCAAATGTTTACAAAGCCCTTTTTATGGCACTTTACTACACATGTCTCAACATTAAATCTAAGTCCTGCAAACGAGTAACTTACCTTTATGTACATTTTCAAAGTTAATATTATCGTAACTAGCGCCCGCCCGCGTCTTCGTACGCGTGGATCCCGTTTTACCCCCTTCATCTATATTACGCGGTTTAGATTTTTTCATACAAATATTTTTTCCCGCTAACTCCCGTTCCCGTGGGAATTTTGCAATATCCTGTTGTAACCAAGCTTTAAGTTTACTAAGGTACCTACATGCCAAATTTCAAGCGTCTAACTTAAGCGGTTTTTTTTCATACAAAAGGATTTTCCCGCTAATTCCTGTTCCCGTGGGAATTCCTAAGTATACTATAACCTGCCCAAGAGCATGAAGAATAATTGTATCAAGTTTCGTTAAAATCCGTCGAGTAGTTTTTGTTTCTATAAGTACCAGACTGACAGACAGACAGACAAAAATTTTACTGATTGCATTTTTGGCATCAGTATCGATCACTAATCACCCCCTGATAGTTATTTTGAAAATATATTTCATGTACAGAATTGAACTCTCTTACAGATTTAATTATAAGTATAGATGAGAGTAAGTAACTTAAATTAATTTTGTCGGCAGTTTTTGTTTTGGCGTTCAAAAGTAAGTAGGTACTTAGGTCAGTCAAAATTATTTATTAAATGTAAATATTTCAAAAAACTTTGTGTTGAATAAACAAAACTCATATTTTAAACCATTATTAACGTAGGCATATTATTTTGCTTAGTACATTATTGTATTTTGTGGAAAACAACAAGCCCTTTTTGTCTCTTAAGTACAAATTATAAGGAAGACTATCAGTCGATGTTATGATGCCGCGAATCCTTTTTAATTCACGATGCATTTTCTTTGACGAAGAAACAATAGAACTTGCTTCTAAATATTTAAGTAAGTCCTCGGCTAGTAATTGCAGTGGGCTAGTTTCCAACTTGATAAGTAAATGGAGGTTGTCATGTTTTACGAGTAACTGTTACAGAACACCTGTGTCATTTGCACTCTACATTTTCCATGGTGCCGGCCGATCAATAACTTTTCACTACATAGTCCAGTAGAATTAGATTTTAAATCGGAAATAATTCCTACAAAAGATTTTATTGCCTTAATGGCTTCATTGGTTGCCCATTAAGACTCTCCTAGGTTTTCGACTTCGACGGAGTTGTGCTTAAGTGGTAAAGGGGCGCTTTTTAGGTTTTTCGGTTATACCGCGTGAAGGACTTACCCTATCGAAAAGTGGTCTTCCTGACGGTTGAAGGGCATTTAATCCTGCTTTAAATAAGACCAAATTGATATGTTTAGAACAACCCGTTCTCGTACAAATGTTCGGCGAAGTAGAAAATATGTGTAAAATTAATGACCCTCTCCACGTCCAATAGCTCGTCACCCGTAGGCTCCCAAGCCTTGTAAAGGGTCGCCTTAACCAGCGTATCCCTGTCATGGCTCACGAGTTGGATTCGCTTATCCTTGTTCGTCCCAGCCGTTCCTTAACTGCGGTTGCTGCACCTCTTCCTGGCACTCTCCTGAACGACTCTGTGTTACTTAATGTGGCTGCCCCTCTTCCTTGTACCCTCCTGTACGATTGCATTGCTTAGCCATATGCCTGATCCAAGGTTCGACGCCACAAAATCAACTTCGTACGCGTGAAAATAGTTTAAATACTATTTTCCGTGCTTGCAACATTTTTCTTTACTGCTTCGCCTCTATTAGTCGTAGAGTGATTGTATATATCCTATAGCCTTCCTCAATTTATAACCTATTCAACACAAAATTAATTATTTCAATCAAACTAGTAATTCTTGAGATTAGCGCGTTCAAACAAACAAACAAAAAACTCTTTAGCGTTTTAATATGAACTTGTTGTTGTTAATTTTTGGCGTCGAACCTTAGACCAGGCATACTGCTAGGCAATGAAGTCGTGCAGGAGGATACAAGGAAGAGGGACAGCCACAGTAGGTAACACAGAGTCGTTCAGGTGAGTACCAGGTAGAGGTGCAGCAACCGCAGTTAAGGAACGGCTGGGACGAACAAGGATAGGCGCATCTAGCTCGTAAGCCTTAATAGGGTTACACTAGTTGAGGCGCTCCTTTTCAAGACTTGGAAGCCTGCGGGTAACGAGCCATTGGACGTGGAGAGGGTCATTAATTATACACATATTTTCTACTTTGGCGAACATTTACACGAGAACGGTTTGTTTAAAACATATGAATTTGGTCTTATTTAATGCAGGATTAAATGCCCTTCAACCGTCAGAAAGACCACTTTTCGATAGGGTAAGTCCTTTACGCGGTATAACCGGAAAACCGAAAAAGCGCCCCTTTCGAGGGCCCCCACCACTTAAGCACAACTCCGTCGAAGTCGAAAACCTAGGAGAATCTTTATGGGCAACTAATGAAGCCATTAAAACACTAAAATCTTTAGTGTTTAATTCTACTGGCCTATACAAACAAACAAACACTAAGAGTAGGCGCACACATTACTTTTCTCTATGGCGCACACCGTTGATTTTTAGTTGGCCGATAGTTGTGCCCGATTTCAAATTTTATGAAGAATCGGCCAAATCGAATCGGCGTAGTGTGCGCACTCCCATACCTACATGCCCATACTGATCAACAGCCCGACTAAATTATCGGCCGACGAAAAATCAACGGTGTGCGCCTACTTACTCTAAGGGTGGATTCGACCAAACAAGAGTAAATATCTCAGAATAAATCGTCACTTTTAACATAATTTCCCATACTGAAACTGTCAATGTGTCAGTTATACCAGGAATTATTCTCGGATAAAAGTTTGATCGAATCGAGCCTAAGTATGAAGTGAATTTAATTTTCTTATCCGTGGTACAATTTATCGCTTAGTTTTTGGTCTGGGTAGGGATTTATTTGGTTTCAGAAATCAAGACGTAACAAACAGACATATTAAACAGACTGATGGCCGAATACTGAAACTGAAACGCCATTTAAATATTTGCGAATACCATTCAAAATTGAGAGATACCTACTTAAATCTAGAAGCCCTTGAGTTGAGTAACAGATTTGAGTAGTGTTTCAGTATTCGGCCTTGAGTTACCTGCATTTATAATTTCCCTGCTTGTGAAACGGTGAAATACCTTTAAAGTAAAGAAAGCCGGTAGCTACCTATACTTAATTAAAATGTTGTGATTAAAACAAAATATCTATGACGTTTGTTACTTACATATTTTCTTTGTAGAAAGAAGGTTTTTTAATCGTGCTAGACCAAGTTTGCATAGATATCAGTGTGCAAAAACTATGTCAGTGAAAAAATTCGCTCTAAAAACAATTTAAAAAGTATTCACCGTAGGGCACTTGTGAAAGCAAGAAGACAGCGTTGGCTTGTGATAATAGTCTTCACTTATATTCTTCGGTATCGTAATCCACGGTTTATACACCACTTGGGGTCCAAAGATGTGTATCATCATCCTCCTGGTGCTATCATTCATTTGTCTATGGACTTCAGCTAGCGGCACGTTCAAGAGGTGCGTTGCAGCAAAAAAGTTGTCGATGGTTTCGTTAACGTGCCTAAAGTTGAACATTGAGGCATCCACGACGATAATCGGCTTGAGAACTTTATTGCTTTTGACATTGAGTTTCAAATTGTTTGTGTCTCTAGATATATTTAATCCGTTGCAAATGTAACGGTCGGTTATGGTAAAATTGGTGTCGTTTTTGCAGTTGTAAAGTATCAGTTGGCATTTGTTTTGGAACAATCTAACTCTGAAGCCATCGCCATCTTGCCTGATGCCACAGACTTCTGCCGCATCGTCAGGGTAAGAACAATCGTACTCTACACAAGGTTTTTCAGGATTGCTTGCTTCTAAGTTTGAAAATAAGTCGGCAGATTGAGTGTCGTTGAAAAATACTTGTTTGCAGTATTCCATGTTTATTAGACCGTAAGCTGGAAAAAAGTTAACACCTGTCTCATTTTTTAAAGAGCAGAAGCTTCTTAAAAGTAATGGAATAATTAATTCGCGAATTGCAGCGTGCCTGCTCCATCCTTTAAAATTTGAACTTAATTAAACTACCTACTTATGAAATTAAAATTGAATAACATTGTTTAAAATCATGTAGTAGAGCGTTTTTGAAACTAATGCAGATAAAAAACGCGATAACTTAGTGCTTGCCTGAGAAAATTTAGCTCTACTTACTGTAGAGACAAAGGAAAACCAAACTAATCTGTTGTGTCTTATGTGTATGTACTTTGTAGAAAGAGGTTAAATTTTCATCAAACATGACCCGTCTGATGTACCGTCGAATGTAATACTTTAAGATTGCAATAAAGCGTACAATTTTACCTTTACCATCTTCAACATCGCATCCAAACTTCAAGAGCTCGCATTCGCTTTCAAATAACCTCAGTCTGAAGCCCTCACCCTCCTCTCTTATCCCACACACAACCTCCTTAGCTTCACCACAGATTAGATTTTCACAAAACTCTTTTTTATTCGCACGGCAACTTACAATACTGGCTGCAAATAAAAAACCTATCAATTGCTGCATGTTTCTCTCATACTGCTGCACATTAATTAATAATTACTTATGCAGGTAAATTAATGACTAAGTAGACGTAAAACGCCGAGTTCATAAAAGTTATGTAACATTAAAAAAGTGCTTAGGCCAATATTAATTAGGTTTGCAATTTGCAAATCTGAAATTAAATAGACTTCAGTCGTTGGTAGCTAGTTATTGCCCCTAATTTTTTTTTTTCGATTTTTTCAGAAGTAATAATATTTATTCTATGAAATTCTTTTCAGGTGGCGCGGCTATTATTAAAGTTCACATTGCAATGTTTAAACCATAGTTTAAAAATTAATAAAAGAACAACTCTATCTAATTAAATAATCTGAAAATGTATAAAACCTATTTTGAAACGTCGTTTAACAAACTATCATAAACAGCCCTTTACAGTCCACTGCTGGACTATGAGCCTCCTCCACTATAGTGGAGGGTTTTGCCATAATCTCCACGCTTGGCAGGCGGGTTGGAGATCGCAGTTTAAAAGATTGATGTTTTTCAGAGAGCGCTGCTGCCCATTCTCTGTTTGATGTGTAGTCCCTAAGTCGCCTCTTACGACACCCGCGGGGAGAGTAGGGGTTGGTGACAAATGTATTCTACTCTGCCGTCACCATACGGCTAATATGTGAAACTATCACGTATAATAGACTTAACATATGAAATTCCTACTATAACCTTTTTTTAATATACTTACTCGTAAATACGAATTTCCTGAAATTCAACTAAGTAATATTAAAGTTGCTCCATTCCATACCCCTAGCGCCATCTATCGGGATATAAATCCGTGTACATTGTGCAATTATTTTCTCCTTGGTAGAAGATTTTGGTTTGTAAGGCAATTCAAATTCATGAATTTAGAATTGCATTTATCTTATGATAATTAAAACAGGTGTCGATTAAGAGTTTTTTGCTTTTAAAGCACCGCCAAACGACTTTCTGCTTAGTCCAAGGGTTAACTGGCAGATAATTCCTTACGGCATTAGGGAATGCTATATGTATGTATCAATTTACTTTTTTACTTAGCAGTAAAGATTAAATAAATAAATATTCTAGCAAAAAGAATGATCTACTTAATTCTTTTAATTTGTTTCCTTTTGGTTACCTCATGAATCTATTTTGTAAGTATTTTAAAATGTTACAATTCATATTGCTAGTCCTAATCCTATTAAAAGAGTTTTAAATACCTAATAATCATAATATTTCTACTACTATCGATTTATTGGTACGAGTACATAGTTAATGCAATGACACAACAAACATTTATATGTTTTAGTGATATAAGAAATGTTTAGATTATAAGCCTAACCTTGTAATTAAAAAATAAATAAATAGGTACAAGATTTGGTTATAAAACCTTGTGTTATTGGTACAGTTTTTTCCAACAAATATAGTTCTCATTTAATCACTTAACAGACAGAAACACTATTTAAGTAAGTGCCTACATAAAATATCAGATGTAAGTAAATACAAGATTTTATTGTGAATCTTGCTAGTATCCACTTAGTTACGAATTTGAATCTACACTTTCGACCATGACTATTTACCTTCATTTCTAGGTAAACACTAAAGTACTTAATGAATGATATTTGGAACAAAAATGATTTTAGTAGGTATACCTACTAACTTACCTTATTAGTTTTATGTCAGTTGTCCTAAACCTAAGTAGGTACTCGTACAAGTTATTATTTGCTTATAAACCAATTTGTAACTTTTTAAGGTCCTATTTATTGCAGTCATACTTACATACTTAAGTCATTAAAATTTAACGTCGTTACATCCATACTCCTAGAGCCATCTATTGGGATAAATTTTCCGTGTGTATCTGTCGACATTGAAAAAAAATTGTATTTTTACATCATAAAAATATTAAGTACCTACCTAGGTACTTGCCTACTTATTAGTTATTAGTTTTTTTAAGTTTCAGTCAAAACTGATAATCGGTCAAAACCACTTTTGAATGCAAAAATCAGTCAAGTGTTTTTTTCCGATGTCCTTAGTCAATATCACTTTTGGCTGATTTTTCCAGTCAAAAGTGAGTGGGTAAGCAGTAGCGGCGTAAGGGGGGGGCGGTGGGGGCGGTCCGCCCCGGGTGCCAAGCATCAGGGGGTGACAATTATTACTCATACTACAGATTAGTACTCACTGGCGCATCTGCATGGCAAGGACGGTCGTGATGTCATGACAGGGGGGGTGCCATTCTGGGGTGCCTTAGGCTATAATTTATATTATGACGGGGGAGGGGGGGTGCCGCCCCGGGTGCCAACCTATGCTACGCCGCCACTGTGGGTAAGTATATAGCCTCCAGCGCGTGTATTGCCATACCCAATCAACAAAAGCTCGTAGAGCTCGTAGATCAGCTCTTGATCTACTAGAGCTGATGGCCGCTGGGGCAGTTCTTGAGTGGCGACCACGAGCCGGAAGCCGTAGCGTGGGCAGGCCTCCCACTAGGTGGACCGACGATCTGGTGAAGGTCGTGGGAGGTGCCTGGATGCGAGCGGCGCAGGACCGGTCTTTGTGCAAATCCTTGAAAAAGCCTCCCCGCCTTTGTCCAGCAGTAAATGTCGATCGGCTGAAACGAACGAAGGAACGAACGAATCAACAAATTAATAAGAAACATGAATCAACAAAATTGCCTATAACTTACAAGCAAGAAAAAAGTAATTGCGCTAAATTCATAATATTTATTTTGGTTGATGTTAGCTCAAACTACTAGTGCCATCTGTCGATATAAAAATAAACTGTAAATTTAAAAAAAATGTACTTAAATGAAAGATCTTAAAGTATAAAAATATCCAAAATAAATCTAAAATATAGGCGCTAAACCCTTTTCACAAAATTGATCATTTACCTGGAGATACCTATTTCAGAAAAATTCGGACCGTTTCGTATGAAATGTCACAAAGACAGTTGCCAACTGTCACCATCACAGCTGTCATTTGATAGTGATGTGAATTATCATTATGTATTTGAACATTCAATTCAAGGTATTTATTTTCAATTTAACCATTAATTTACTAATATAGAAAATCAATAAACAAGAAGTTTTAATGAAATCGCGGGCTTTTGGTATCTTTTATACGCTTTTATGGCTTGAAGCCCGTGAAATGTAATTCTATTTAGTTTCTAAACAAAGTTATTGCTCAAAAATTGATTAAATTTTTGTTATTCTCAATAAAAGAGATTTTGTGCATTTTCACATAATTTTGTTACACGTAATATCGGCAACAGTGTTATTAACTACCCGTTACTGGTCATGGTCGTCTCGTTCTATTGCAAAGAATCACCATTTGATGAGAGTGAGAGCAAAAATGGAAATTGACTGTTGCTGAAAGGAGTCCACATTTTTTCAATCTTGTATAAATTAACTTAACGTTTAGAAGTCGAAGAACATTAACAAAAAGTACGATTTAAAAAAACGGTTGATCATTTGATTTTCAATCAATTTATCTTTAAGTATTAGGATATTTAGGATACCCATGTTTGAGGTGGGTGTTTTTTTTATGTGACAGGAGGCAAATCTTTTTCTATTATGGGCGGTTTGAGTGGTAATACATGGGTAATATAAACATGGTTGTAATAAGATCTCTCGAATAGTTACTTAGAAATAAATTAATATTTTTTTTTAATAATTATTGAAATTTTTCTCAGTTAGTTGTTTTTGAAAGTTAAGAAACTTATCGATGACAATGAAAATTTTATGAATATTCAATTGAAATAATTTATTAACTTCTATGCTACTAGTACTACATCACTAAACACCAGTGTTGCCAACTTAGCTACTTTATAGCTAGATTTAGCAACTTTTTGATGTCAGGCAGCTACAATTTTTTTTTAACTTGTAGCTAAACTTTTTAGCTACTTTTTCTAGCAACTATTGATTATGATTGTATTTTTACAAAGTACATATTTGAAGACATAAGTGAACTCGCTATAGCATGTCTTTCACTTCCGCATTCAAATGCTGAGGTAGAAGAATTGTTCTCCCAAATGAATTTAATAAAAAATAAACAGAGGAATAGAATGAGTTTAATAACTCTGAATTTTATTTTATTCATAAAAGATTCGCTCAGGAGAAGCGGCCAGTGCTGTCACAATTACGTTTTTCCTAAAGCCGTACTTGACAAAATGGGTACTATGGAAAAATATTCCAAATCATGTGCAGCTGAACCTTCTACATCTTCTTCTCGTACATAATTAGGTAATTATAATATTCGGTAGATAATCAAAATATTGTCGTCTTTTATTTGTTAATTATGTAGTCACGGTATTAAAGTTAAGTTGATTAAAGTTTAAAGCGGATTTATTAGCTGCAGTGTTTTATTTCTTTAGTATTTTATTAACTTCGGAATTTAGCTACTTCTAGCTACTTTTTAGGGAGAAAAAAATAGTCAATCTAGCAACTTTCTGTTAAATTCCTAGCTACGAGCCTTTGGTAGCTGTTGGCAACACTGCTGAACACAGTGATTTTTTCGAGTTTGGAAAAAGTATTTCGCAATATTATTTAATTGGTTTTGAGTTAATGACCACGTTGGAAAGTTAAAATTAATTTGTAATCATGAGTCCTAAAACGGATATAGTAGTTAAACCAAAAATAGTGCGGGTTTATGAATTAGATGAATTCGAAAAATTGCTGAAAGGAATGAAGGTTGCAGCATGTATGATCACAGAGCCCTACCAAATTGGTAAGTTTTTAACCTACTTTGTAACATAAATAATTGAGGAAACAATTTATAAGTTAATTCCAAATTTTTGCCGAGTTTTAAATTGTAAAATCTGTGACTAACCTTAAATTTGTATTTTAAAATGGTAGATTTAATTTTTTCAAGACTTAAATTAACTTTATTTATTTGAAATTATTATGTATTGTTTTAATGCTTCATGTATAATTTCAGTTGATGAGGAAAGTGTAATGCGTAGATTGAGTGCGCTTACACTCAATGGTCCGTCAGACGGTAACGCCTGTTCTTGCTGTGGCGTTGGCCCATTCGAGACGAGAGCTCAGCAGATAGCTCATTATAAGCACCACTGGCACACACATAATTTGAAGAGGAAACTATTTGGCAAGGCGCCTCTAACCCTTGGCCAATTTAATTCTAAAAAAGGTAAGTAAATTATTGTGCAATTTCAGTCTACATTATTTTTAATGTCAAGGACATAGATCATTAATTAGCAATGAAAGAGAATAATAGACAATAATTGAATTACTTTGTTAAAACTTGTAAGCTGGATAAAAAAATTGTTATGACAACTAAAAATGCAATTTAATTATATTTCTTAGAGTGCATTTGCTGTTGTTATTAATTTACTGTAGTTAGATTAAAGTTCAGCCAATTTCTAGCTTTTTACTGATTTGCAATTTATGTCTAAGCATTTATAACATGGTGAGTTTGGCTGGTTTGGCCTAGTTGTGCAATAGTAGTTGTAGAAGCTAAAATAATCTAAAACTCAGCTAGTTTTTATTGAAAAACAAACAAATTGATTATCAACTATTGAGTACTAAAATCGTGATTTACTTATCAAGTCCACAAACATTGCCAATATTATGCAATAATGTCATGATTGAATAATTAATGTTACACATACTTACGTCTCTAAACACAAATGTATGGAAGTCTAATATATTTCAACTCTTTCTTTCGTAGAAGAAGACGAAGACCTCAACGTATCGGGTAGTGACTCGGAAGCAGATGAGAGTGCGACCAAACCGGCCAGTGACCTGTTTGCAGCTGCCACCAGACATTGTAAAGCTTTCTTCACCAACAAGATTGGAGAAGTTTTCTGCGTGTACAGATGCATACTGCATCATAAAAAGGTGAAGAATGTTGTGTAATTAATTTGCAGAGTAAAAGTTATTTAAGTTCATACTAGTTCTGATAATTTATTTACTAAAGCCCGGTCTGTGAGCATGTAGAATTTTGTCCAATGACCCCAAGGTACCCATCCTTATCGCTCGCGCGTAATTATATCGCTGTCGCGACTGTGCGACGGGCGCCCGCAGTGCGAGCGCGACAGCAACAATTACGAGCGAGTGATAAGGGATGGGTAGCTTGGGGTCATTGGACAAAATTCTACTTGCTCGCAGACCAGACTATAGTTCCTTTCTAGTATACCATATTGTCGTATATTCATTATGAAAATTTATTGATTCACATTACACATTTACTCATTTCTAGTTTCTTTTTGCAACAACAAGTAGCGTTAAATTTTTGTAGTAAAGATGTAACAAACAGACAAGGTTGTTACTTTTTCTTTGATGCTTTTTTTAGTATTTTTCATTAAATTAGTATTGTTTTAAGTCTTATTTATTTTATCTATTACAGGAAGAGCCATGCGTAGACGGTCACGGCTGCCAATGGATAGCGCGCGTCCAAAAGCTGGTTCTCCCAGTATTCCAGCGGTGGGCCGTCCTAATGGTCTCGGGGGGGCATTTCGCGGGGGCCATCTTCTCTGGCAGCATTCCCGTGGTGCACAAGACCCACCACTCGTATGTGACCCGCAGGGGCCAAGGCCAGGCTCAGGTGTCGAGGGACCAACACGGGAACGCGCCTAAGTCAGCTGGAGCTAATTTGAGGAGAAAATTGCAAGCACAGTTTTTACAGGTTGGTTGTTTTGTATTTACATGTGTTGAGACTGATTAATTAAAGAGACTTGTTGTAGGATTAAGAGGTTTTTATGTTACTGGATTGGATAGGTCTTATTATTTCAGTCAAGGAGTGTAAATGTAATCTTTTTTTGGAGCCCAAAAGAAACTAAACTTCTATATTGTAAGCACTGAATCTTGTTAGCTTAATTTTAGCATTATTTTGATCTGTTAGGTATAAAGACAAAAATATGACCATTTAGACACTTTGGTCTTCTACACTCTAGTCTCAAACTAAAACTTAGTTCTGTTTTCCATAAAATTGTAACAGTTAATAATATGTCGAATTTTTTGAGATCTCGATGTTGGTGCCATACTAAAAATTGCTGTAGGTATTTGACTACCAGAATAACCTTATTCAACCTGACATCTAACTTCCTTTTTTACACCTCAGACGATTGGCGTTAACTTAATTGTTTAAGACCGTTCAAGACATCATAGCTGGCTGGGCAGAAGACCTCATAGGATGCGAGCTCATCCTATACCGGGCGGTGGGGTCACTGAACCAGGCAGCTCTGTTCGGCAAGAACTCGCCGCTGAAGAAAGACGATATGAGAGTGAGGATTCTGCCGTTCCCGACTAAGAAGCCATCGTATAAGGAAGTTAAAAGGGTGCACGAAACTGTGGCGAGCGTTGAAGTCTATGGTAAGAATTTTTATGAATAACTAGCGGCCGCCCGCGACTTCGTACGCGTAGACCACGTTTAATTACTAATGATGTTGATAGATGGCGTTTCACGGCTTCCCATGAATTATTTACGAACGTCAAAATTTTTTATCCAGCGCTGTAGATTTTAACCAATGACGATAGATGGCGCTTTTTACCCACGTCTTATTTATTTATTGAAATTGAGTTGGTCACAAATATCGTAGTAAATTATAGCCTATGTGTTAATCTGGGTTACAAACAATGATACTGTAAAGTTTCAACAAAATCCGTTCAGTAGTTTTTGCGTGAAAGAGTAACAAACATGTTAACATCCAGACCAGACATCCATACAAACTTTCGCATTTATAATATTAGTAGGATTACTTTAACATAAGTGAGATAGTGCCTGAAGAATGGGAACGGCATGGAGAGGTAACGTTTATGACGTGACAGAGCATACAAGTCTGAAGCACATCTCAAGTCCCGACCTTTGACGTCGCAAAAAGACCTGGCGCCATACTTCAATACCTACTAATGGTTTCGTCCGATCTGCTGTTTAAAGTGTAGCTCTAACGAAATTTTACGTTTATTTGAGTTAGTTAAATCACTTTTGCAACCTTTATCTTGCTATTTGAAGATACACAACCCTATCTTAGAATCGATTATTATATTAATAGATTGATTATCTATTCGTGAATTGATTTTTCCTTATCGCATCATCAGAGTCATTAAGCAACAAATGATTCACGAATTCAGAAAACTATATTGTTTTCTTAGTAACTTAAACACGTGCGCTGATAATGCTGGTATGTAAGCGTAATTATCAGAATTTTCTATGGGAACATTAAGATATTATTTTGTCAGAAGTAGCTGCATACCTGAGATAATTACCACAGTATATACAGGGTGTCCCGTAATGTAACGTCAAGCCGGAACTGGGTGTTGAGGCAAGTTGTGCTGGTTATCAGAAAAATATAAAAAAAAATCTATGTGGCATATTTTAAAAATAATAGGCATTTAAAAAAAATCAAAAAATTCTCTTCCGGGTGACGGTCCTTTTGCTCGTGTTGCCACAAATCTTCACTTTTTCCAAATTTTTTTTTTGTTATGTAACCCTGAATAATGCTTCTCTAAATTGTTATCAAAATTACAAAACCGGCTGCTCCAGCTTGGATGAAAAAAATACATTATTCTCAAAAAAAAATTCAAAATAAAAATTTTGCCTAGTTTAAACTGACTGTACTGAAAAAAAAATGTACTACGCGAGTGTGGCAAGTGACGTCATAATTTGGCGCATTTAGTAAGGATTCCAAAATGGTATAACACTTGGTAAATTTTTGGTGTAATTGTCGACAATTTTTGTTTTTTTTGGAAATAGTCCCGTTTTTAACTTAATTTACCTTGGTTAAAAATTATTATTCTAATGTGCCCAAAATTCAAGTTTCTGTGACTGACTACCGTACAGTACCGTACAGACGAAAGTCTCGGATAATTTCGGTTACGGAATTATTAGAATTTCAAAAATGTAGGAATAATATAATACAAATAGCAAGATGCTGCGTGAGCGTGACCCACATAGCTACTTTATGTACCAACTAAGACGACACCTATGTACGATAAAGGTAAAACAGGCTGGCATATTAGATGGTGCCAGCGAATGCCAGACAAGTTGGTAACAAATATTAAGATTTAAGGTACAATTCCAAGACGGGCCGCAGACCGCAAACTGCAACCGCAAACTGTAAAACTATGAAATCGGCAGCGCGGCATTACAGCTGCGGCGTGTATACTGCAAATTTCATAGAGTTTTGCAGTTTGGCCTTTATCCGAAACTATCCGTAACTTTTGAATCAGTTTCGGTTACGGTTATGGACATTTTTTTATTTCGGATATCCGATAGTTTCGGTTACGGTTACGGATATCCATAACATCCCTGCTTGGTAAGATGGCCCTCTTCGTGGCTTCTCCACCTCACTTAAGCCAGAAACTTAAATTTTGGGCACATTAGAATAATATTTTTAACCAAGGTAGATAAAGTTAAAAACGGGATTATTTCCAAAAAATCAAAAATTGTCGACAATTACAGCAAAAATTTACCAAGTGTTATACCATTTTGGAATCCTTACTAAATGCGCCAAATTATGACGTCACTTGCCACACTCGCGTAGTACATTTTTTTTTCAGTACAGTCAGTTTAAACTAGGCAAAATTTTTATTTTGAAATTTTTTTTGAGAGTAATGTATTTTTTTCATCCAAGCTGGAGCAGCTGGTTTTGAAATTTTGATAACAATTTAGAGAAGCATTATTCAGGGTTACATAACAAAAAAAAAATTGGAAAAAGTGAAGATTTGTGGCAACACGAGTAAAAGGACCGTCACCTGGAAGAGAATTTTTTGATTTTTTTTAAATGCCTATTATTTTTAAAATATGCCACATAGATTTTTTTTAATATTTTTCTGATAACCAGCACAACTTGCCTCAACACCCAGTTCCGGCTTGACGTTACATTACGGGACACCCTGTATATGAGCTAAAGCAGTACGGAAACTTAGCCCTTTCGGCGAGTTAAATACCTACACTTCAACTGAGTGTTAGGGTTGGCACTCTTAACCGCTTGAGTCCCAGACGGCATTCATTAATGTCATAACAATTGATTATTATCTATTGTGTCTAGATTCTCGGGCCTTGAAGGATTAATCTTTATAAAATTAATAAGGTTCTTACTTACTTATTTATTAAAACGTTAATTAGGTTCTATAATGATCGAATACATAATCGAATAAATTGATTAGTAGGTACTATTAGAGGCCGGTAGAAGATCTATTCTCATAAATAAAATACCGGATACTTACTTTCACATAGTACCTATTGCCTCATTTTAAATACAGTTCATCACTTAGTACAAAAGCGCGCGGAGCAAATTACTTTATCAAATAGAACACAGTATACATTGTTAAAAAGCGTAATTACGTAATTTAAAAAGAACTATTACAAAATCAGATGTAAGCACTTTATTTAAAAAGTAATATTTAATCATTTTTACAATTATTCAGAATTATTACGAAGTTTAAAAAATGAAAATTCTGGTTTTGAAGATGCTGAGTTCAAGCAGCCGTATTAACTACGCAATACACTTGTGGCATGTTTTTAAAAATACAGCGGAGAGCGCATGCAGTAAAATTATTATTAAAAAACACAACTGCGAGGTTCGCTTAGAGCTCGTGTAAAGCGTGCGTCTGTGTGCGTGAGTCTGATTTCGAGCGTTTGTATGAAGCTTCCGTACTGTTTGATTTATCTACTGTGTAATTACCTAGATTATAGCATTGTATCTTTTGGAGTTATAACAACAATTTTATTACAACTCATCGTAAAAAAATACTAACATTCGTTCGTTCGTTTCAGTCAAATGACGTCCATTGTTGGACAATAGGCCAGTTTCCTAAAAAAAAATTTTTTAGTCCGTTAATTTTAATATAAAAAAATATTGGACACGTATATTTTTAATTTCTATTAAAACAAATAATTACCAAGTTATAGTGCGTTGAAGTTCCGCGCGACGTCACATAGTGCTGCACTTTTGAGCACTCATTGACGTCACGGGCCTTTTCTTTAGAACTTCGGCACGCTTTATCTCTTTACATTTTCATTAGTTTGAAGAAGTGAAAAATACGTGTCGAGTATTTTTTGATAAGCTAACTGACGGACTAATTAAAACTCTTGCTTTTTTACCCAGGAAACATCCCTATTTTGGCTGAAACGAATTGGCATTATATCCGCTCTCATATTTACCAGTTTCTACTAGTGCCTCTTATACATAGATGACAGCATATCAATTTAAACGCTTTGGCGTCTATGTAGTAATAATATGCGCTGTGCCACAATGCGACAGACGTGACCATATCTCTCTGTAATCATATTTAAAGCTTAATGACATGAAATTAATAAGCCCTATTATTTATCCATTGCAGAATCTATGGAGCTATTTCAGAAAGCCCTGATAGCATCCACGGCAAGGCCAGTGAGCAAATCCGGTTCCGACACGAGTGTGCAGAGCAAAAAACCTGCCAAAGCCAGCCCCAACAAGCCTGTGGATAGAGCCAAATCGAGGTAAACGGCGTTTAGGAGTTTAAAGGACGTAGCACATTTATCAACCCGGAAAGGGACCGTAATCGTATTATCTCATCTGTATTTAATAGGTCAGTATTCTTTGTATGTAACTCCATACTGCGAGGCACACTTCATTATCATCATCAACAGCGCTTTTCAGTCCACTGCTGGACTATGAGCCTCCTCTACTATAGTGGAGGGTTTTGCCATAATCTCCACGCTTGCCAGGCGGGTTGGAGATCGCAGTTTAAAAGATTGATGTTTTTCAGAAGGCGCTGCTGCCCGTTCTCTGTTTGATGTGTAGTCCCTAAGTCGCCTCTTACGACACCCGCGGGAAGAGTAGGGTTTGGTGACAAATGTTTTCTACTCTGCCGTCACATCACGTGTGGCACACGAGGCACACTTATCCGCACCGTAACGTAAACGCCTCGCCTCGCGGTCAACCAGGCGTCCACCCTCCTTAGGGTGACTCCTTAAGCACTGTTACTGACGTATGTTAGACAACTTGATAGGCTCTCCTAGGAGTCGCTGTAGTGGTAAACAATGGGTGGAATTATGCCCGTTTTCACCATCAAACCCTAGTTTTTAAGTGACCCTATGAAAACAAAATTCCTGTTATATGTTACCATACGGAAACTTGAAAATTAGGGATTGATGGTGAAAACGGGCATTAGTCCGTATTTCCTTATTTCTTTGACAACCCCTTAAAATATTTAAAAGGGATATTGCACACACATAAGAATGTTCCGTACAAAAAGGCGAGCTTAGTGCCATAAGTCATTCTCTCCCAGCTGACCTTGAGCAAAACAGAGAATTGGAGTATTCAAGAACATAAAGGCAGCATTTTCCTCACTACCACTTTTTGTTTATACTTACTTTTTTCTTTTGTACCTCACTAGAGAACGCACGCCACGCGAGCTGCCGACCCAAATGCTCTCAAGCGAAGACGAAGGCCCATGTTACATCGACTCCGAAACCCCAGCCGGCTGGATCAAGACCCTCTCAGAACAGAGTTCCAACGGGGTCATAACTAACTCCAGAAAAGACTTATTAAACGACAACCCAGTACCTTGCCCGGATTCAGATAGCGAAGAAGATGTTATAGATAAGAAAGAAGCGAAGAAAAAGAGAAAGAAAGAGAGGAAGCAAGAGGAGAAACAGCAACCGGTTAAGGTGCAGCAGAAGATCCCGACTAATGTCAAAAAGGTAAGGAATCGAGTTAGTTAAATTTTATTTTTATCCTACCACATTGGTCATTGGTTGGATAACACTGCGGTCAATAAGCGCCTGGCGTGGCTCAATCGGAGCGACTGCTAAAGCATACATCCTTGGCATAGCTGGGCATTAACTCGTTAATCCGTTAATCGTTAATTAACGAAGTTAACATTTCTATTAACGGATTAACTTTTAAGTTAACTTTAAAAAATGTTAACGGACTCGTTAACTTCCGTTAAATTATCCTAAGTCCGTTAATCGTTAATCCAGTACCTACTATTTACCAAAAAGATACAGCAGGCACGCTGAAAAACACTAGAAAAACGCGTTCTGACAAGTACGTTCGGGCTTCCAGAACTTCCAAAACCCAAAACAACAGTTTTTGTAACCAGAACGAAACGATATAGTAAAAAATACTATTTATAGTATATTTATTTACAAGCTTTACATTGACTGACTTCACTTGTTAGTATGTATGGGGAAAATCTTGCAACTGAATTTAAGACCAGTTCTCCTCAACCGATTGAGCTGAATTTGGTATACCTAGTTATGTAAGTGCGATAAAAATGCAATGTTGTGGTACCATTGAGGCATTGAGCTGGTCTGATGATGGAGTGAGGAGGTCTCCTAAATGAAACGGCGGAATCGCATCGAATTTGGGATCGTTGGATTTGCCTTTTCAAACAGTTTAGTACTAGATGATGTCCAGGGTCCTGATGATGGAGTCAGGAGGTGGCCATAGGAATTCCTAAACGAAACGGTGGAAACTTATCAAGTTTGGGTTAGGTGGATTTGTCTTTTCGAGCACTTTGGTGCTAAATTGTATTGCAATTGAACCAAGGCTCTGAGATTGAGATACTATAGACTAAGAGCTGGTGAACGCCAGACCTACGTCATTTTATAAAAGCTGAAAGTTTGTCAGCGTATGCTCCCAATATAGGTTAGAATGTGCCTCCTTTTATCACTAGAGTACCTATCAAATATTATTGACAATAATACCGAACAAATCGATATCAAAAATCGATGTATCGATTGATGTCCAATCAAATTGAGTTCGATGTATCGATTTATGTTCAATTGGGTATGGTACCTCACTAGTTTTCCGTCATGTTGGTACCCTTGTTGGTTTCTTAGTTAGGTTGGTAGAAAAAGTCAACCTAACTTTGAAAACTGCTAGTTAGGGAGTGCTGACTCTTACTATTACGTGCTCTGTGTGTTGGTGGATTATGAAGTTTGGGTCATCGTGGCTAAAAAAAACTTTCTGGCAAGGTTGTAACTGTCAAAACTGTCTGGCTGATGTCGAAACAACTAATCATTGCTCAAATATTATACATAAAAATCAGATTTTATGGTATAACGTAAATAGAATTACAGTCTATTGAATATAATAATATGTATAGAAAAAGCCACCGTAAAAGTTAGGCTTACGTTATACCATAAAAGCTGATTTTTATATAAAACTAGCTGACCCGGCGAACTTTGTTCCGCCCTAATGGCAATAAATAAGCAGACTTTTTTTTATTTCGAACGGGATAAAAAGTATCCTATGTCCTTCTCCTGGCTATAAACTACCTCCCTGACAATTTTCAGCTAAATCGGTTCAGCCGTTCTTGAGTTATAAGCGAAGTAACTAACACGACTTTCTTTTATATATATAGACTAGCTTTCCGCCCGCGGCTTCGCCCGCGTGGAATTTTGTCTGTCACAGAAAAACTTTATCGCGCGCGTCCCTGTTTCAAAAACCGGGATAAAAACTATCCTATGTTCTTTCCCGGGACTCAAACTATCTCTATGCCAAATTTCATCAAAATCGGTTGCGAGGTTTAAGCGGGAAAGCGTAACAGACAGACAGACAGACAGGATAAATTTATTATGTTCATTTATTTTTTACATTTATTTTATTTTATTACTACCTACTTATATTTATTTTAAACTTGTATGCACATAAAACAGTGTACATAAGGCGGACTTAATGCCTTTCGGCATTTTTAACTAAAAACCCTCTATCAAAATAACGGCACGTGCCGAAAGATGATTCAGTGTTTAAAGAAGATACGCGGATATTAATTACCATGTAATAGAAAGAGAGGTCAATAAATCAAAATGTCGAATAATACAACTACATACTCACATATTGTAATAGCGCACTCATTCCAACATTTTACGTCACGCATGATCTGTCCGTATGCGTACTGGCTATGTATATTACGGAATACGATCATTTACCTACGTCACTACAAACTATACACGGGTTTTTGCGTACTGGCAGTGTATGGTTTGGAGGAGCTTAGTAAAAAAAGTATATTCCAAACTATACTCGATTAGTTTCACACCCTTGCGTTCTGGCTATGTATAGATTGGAAAGACGCGACAGACAGACAGACAGACAGACAGAGTTACTTTCGCATTTATAATATTATAGTTGGGATATTAGGGCAATAATTAGAAGTAGTTTCCTCATTAGCCAGACAGTTTTGACAGTTCCAACTCCTTGACAGACAGTTTTTTTAGGATAGCTGCCAAACTTCATATGATTCACCTTGGATTCACCGACATCCTATGTTATTGGGAGCATACGCTGACAAACTTTCAGCTTTTATAAAATGACGTAGGTGTTCACTAGCTCTTAATCTACTACTAAAAAGTGTAAAATAAAATTATAATAATAAAAAACTTTTTAAAAACAAGCTTATATTCTGAAATGCAGTTGTTACTAAAATGAAAAAATAATAGTAATGCAAGTTTCAAACTTCAAATAATTTCGAAAGCTTGTAACGCAAGCATAAATAAAAAGAGGAATAAATTCCATGCGCAATACAAGCTTTCGAAATTATTTGAACCTTGCATACAATTTTTTTTTTCGTTTTATTATCATGTGTTAACGGATTAACGATTAACGTTAACTTGCGTTAAATCTTGCTAAATGTAACGTTTTAACGTTTAACGAAGTTAATTTTTTTATTAACGGTTTAACGATTAACGAAGTTAACTATTTGATTAACGGTGCCCAGCTATGATCCTTGGACATCCTTCTACATTTTACACTAAGTACCCTTCTAGTCCCAAACTAAGAAAAGCTTTTACTATGTGTACTAGGCAAGGATATAAACATACTTAAATACTTTTTTTTTTGTAAATACATACATATTAATTATACATAGTAACACCCAGACCCGTCACAGAAATTAAAATTAATCATTTCAATTTCTGCCCGGCCGGGAATCGAACCCGGGACCTCTCGGCATATTAGTTCATTCTGAAACACTACACCAAACGGCCGACAAATATTTAGGATAACTTTACGGGTCAGGGTTCTTCAAGGCGAGAGTGAATAGGCACTTACAGGGCAGTTATGTACCATCCTAGACTGCATCACACTTAACATCATGTGTGATTGCAAATATCTACTTTGTTCTACATAAAGAAAAAGGTTTTTCTATCAATAAAATGTTAACATAAAGGACAATGTTCGTTCTCCATACATTGTTCGCCTAAAGAACCAACAATTTTGACATATTACTACCCGAAAGCGAAATAATACGATTCTGTGTGTAAGAACAATGATTCCTGATGGACACTTGCCATAAAATTAATGATTAAGAATATTAAATCACAGCGATTTTATAATATGTCGTTTATGACAAC